AAATAAATAGTAATAGTAAAAGTTATAACAAAGTAAATGAAAAATAGTCTTATAATAAGGAATAATCTTTACAATAAATTTTTGGATATAACAAACTTACTTTCTCGTAAGATGCAACTTCGTTATAATAAGGTTTGAGTGTACATTATTTTTATGAGGGTTTTGCTGAGACGAACCCGATTCACCATAAAATGCAACCCGTTGCAAAACAGGAGGATGTACAATCAAGGTCGCACTGTACTTGGCTTTGTCGTGGATACTCAAACATATCTGCGGTCCCACATTTCACATTCATGCTTCATTCGACGCCGATTCATGGCTATCGTTTCTTACTTTACCAGCAGTTCGAGTTGTGCTTATATGAGCTTGCTCCCACTAACTTATGGGAAGCAGAAACAATACTCTTTTCCCGTCTCAAACCACTACAAATCACGTGAATCTTATGTACCCAAATTAGCACAGATCGGCAACCCTATCATGCACAATAGCACGACACTTGGTGCAAGAAAGTGATCATATAGGTATCTCTGCAGCATATAGGCTACTCGGTGTCACACACGGGGATACACTTGACGAGAGGCAACCACGTTCACACAACCATTTATTCTCCGTGCCACATCCCGACTACCCGCGTATCGCTTCTCTCCTTCCCGTGCGCCCCTTCAATGTTCCCGTGACACTCGCGCGCCACCTCGTTCCTCAACCATAAACTACACACAACCTTAGAGATCTACACGCAACCCCACTCGCGTGCCACCTTGTTCCCCGGCCGTCAACCACACCCAACCCTCTGGCACTTCCTCTCATTCCTCACAACTTCTCCCCACCCCCCTCGCATCGCGTCTTCGGGGCGGAAGGGAGAAGCAATGGTTCATGGTACAGTATCAACTGATCAGCATGGGCAATGGCTCGACGACACTGTGTAACTGGATCACCCAGGATGAAGTCATTTTCACCAACCTGCCTGACCACACGATAAGGTCCAGCTCGCCGCGGTGCCAACTTGGCCGAAACAACTTTGACTGCAATACTCAAGGTATGAGTGTCCAAGAGCACAAGGTAACCTTCTCTGATGGTTGTTGACTGTCAATGATGGTCATAAGTTGACCTCTGGGTCTGCCAGGCAGCTGCTTGATGCTTCTTGGTGTTTTTCAGGGCTTCTCCAAGACACTGCTGGATTTCCGCAGCAAGGGCATGGTGCGCTGCCTATGCCCCCCTTGTCTCCTGCAGGTTCCCACGGAGTGCGCAACTCTCTGCTATAGCAAAGCAATGCCGGAGTATATCCGGTGACTACGCTCTCTGCAGTACGCATGGCAAGGCTGACGATCTCGGGTATATGACGGTCTCAGTGTTTGTGGTTATTGCAGTATGCTCGTAGGCACTGTTTAATCGTGCTATTATGATGTTAGACCATCTGTCTAGCCGGCCAGTAAGACACAGTATGCCGATCCCTGACTCCCCAGTGTTTCAGGAAATTGCGCCATAATGTGCTGACGAAGGGCTTCCCGTTCTCGCTGGTGATTGCCACTGGTGTTCCATGGAGACAAAAGACTTTGACCATACACTCTAGTATTTTTGTACTGGTTGCTGCTCGCAAAGGAAATAGCTCTGGAAACTTAGTGAACTTGTCAATGACTACGAGCAAGTATTTGTGGCCACGAGGTGTAGACGACAAGGGTCCAATAATGTCGACGCTAAGCTTCTCCATGGGTGCTGTTGCCCACTGACTGTTCATCAGGTCTTCAGGCTTTTTGCGCCGAGCTTTTGTGCGCTGACATATAGCACAGCCCTGCACATACCTTGATATGTCTGCCCGCATGCCCAGCCAGACGAATCGTGCCATTTTCAATGCCAGGTGCCGGAGGTGAGAGGGCAGCCATGGTATCTTCTTGCTGCCTCTTTGCTGAACAAGCAGGCCACTTGGCTCTAGTTCTGTTGTTTCATCCAGATCATGGAGAAGGCGATGGTCAGGGTCTTAATTTGGAAGCGTAACCCCTTGGACCACAGTTTTCAGTTTTGAAAGACGGCTGTCACGGGCCTGCTCTTGCACGAGTTGCGCGGTGTCAGGCAGTCGTATCATCTTCCAAGGCAACTTCCACTTGCTCAAACGTAATTTTCCTTTCAGGTTCTTGTGCAGCAATAGGAAGCAGCTTCTCGTGCAAGCTGCCGCTGGGACGGTCCTCACATTGAAGGGGCGCTCTACTCAGGGCATCTGCGGGTATATTTGCCAGCCCCCGTCTGTGCCTGATTCGGCAATTGAAAGCTTGCAACCGGAGGACCCAGTGTTTGACCCTGAGTGAAGCTTGGTCGGTGCTGAACATCCACAACAGGGACGAGTGGACGCAGTGTATCTCAAAGTTTGTAAACTCAAGATATGCCCTGAATTTGTCCACAGCCAACACCACTGCAAGGCATTCCCATTCCTGGACAGTGAAGTGGCTTTCGGCTTCTGTGAGAACCCTGCTGATGAAGGAAATGGGCTGCAGTTCGTCGGGGCCAGCCTGCTGTAGAACAGCTGCAATGCCAATGCCGCTTGCATCCGTCTCAACCACGAAAGGTCGATTTAGATCTGGAAGGCTCATAATTGCATTGTGAGCCAAGGATTGCTTGAGCGCAGCGAAGGCTTCCTGCTGACACTCATCCCACCACCATGGCTCGCTTTTCTTCAGAAGGACAGTGAGTGGATGTGCCGTCAGTGAGAAATGCGGTATGAAGCTCCGATAATAACCAGGAAGTCTCAGGAAAGCCTGCAATTGTTTAATTGTGCTGGGTCGCGGATAATCCAGTACTGCCTGCACTTTTTCTTCTTATGGTTTGCACTGCCTAGGGGAGATGATGTGACCCAGGAACTTAAAGGACTGATGGCAGACCTGCATTTTATCAGGGTTAATTGTAAGGCCAGCAATGTCAATGCGCCGCAACACCTCCCTAACATGCTAAACATCACTCAAGATCTTCAGAGTAGACGAGGACATCATCATCCAGAAAAGCCATGGCGAAGCTATGATTGATTCCGTGCAAACCCGGTCCATTGCGGTTTGAAAAGTTGCTGGGCCACCAGCCACCACAAAGGGCATTTTCGTGATCTCAAATGTGCCCTGGTGGCAGATGAAGGCTGTTTTAACTATGTCAGCCTCAGACACGGGGTTCTGAAAGAAACCCTGGGAAAGGTCAAAGCTCAAAAATCACATTGCAAGGCCCAATTGTGCTAGCAGCCAGTCTGTTCGGGGCATTGGGTGGGCAGGTATGCGGGTGCGTGCATTTAATGGCCGATAGTCCACAGCAAGTCGGTAGCCAACAGATTTCTTGGCAACGAGCACTGGAGCACTAGTCCAAGGGCTGGTGCCATGTCTTATAGGGTGTTGCTCCAAAAGGTAATTTACACAGCATTCAATGATCTTCTGCTCTTTTTGTATCCCTCGTGACCTATGCCTCTGCAGCGGTGGCACCTGATTTCACTGCCATCGAGCAGTTGGTATCACTGCGGTTTTGGTGGCGTAGAGACATATGTCCAGGTAGTAGAAACGGGTGATCTGTGCAGCTGGTCTCCGTGGTAGGATGGCTGTATCATCGCGGGGTGCAACGGCCAGTATGATGCCGCCGACAGGTGCTGCAACGGCGCCGCAGCCGCCGCCATTACTCTGAGCTGCGCTCCTGACAGGCCAGCCGCGTTCACAGCAGGCCGGAAGGCAAGGTCCCTTGCAACTTGATCGGTTGGAGGTGGCAGCAGTTTTTACTGGAATCGTCTCCAATAACGCTCCATGAGGCCGTCAGCGGCCTTTGCCAACTCCGCAAGATTTGTGAACTGCTTGCCCTCTGCCAAATCCTGGAGTGCGGATGCATCTGCCACAACACACGGTTGACTTTTTCTGCGTCTGACACTTCGCCGCCGATCCTGTCATAAAATTCCACGATCGTGTAGATAAATTTTTTAAAATCTTCTTCGGGGTGCTGGGTGCAGAGGTGTAGCTCCTGCCTCAGGTGCCGCTTTGCATCAATAGACGAAAATTCCACAAGGAACGCTGCCTTGAAGTCATCCCAGGACGCTAACGATTTGACGAAACGCAGCCACAACTTTGCGCTCCCCTCCAGTGCAGTGGGCACGATATGCGTAAGCCTTTTGTCGGTGGCGATGCCGGTCACCAAGCAGAAGGTCTCGAGGCGGTCCACGAATTCTTCGGGTGTCGCCAAATCCAGCGAACCGAGGGGGAGGGGGGGGAACTTCCTGAGGGCCTATGGAGCATAGTCAATCGCCGGCTGGGTCGCCGCCGCCGCTGTTGTCATGGCACTTGCAGACATGGGCTCCACTGTCATAAGCCTTTGTCTGACGGCAGCCGTGATTGGCTCGCGCTGTATGGCGGAGCCGTTTGTTTGCGCAACCAACTGCTGTAGCAGCTCTTCCTGCACATTGACGCTGTCCATTCCGGTTGCCATGTCAATCCCGGACGAGCCCCCACTTGTTACGCACGATGATACACTTGACGACAAGCAACCACGCTCACACAACCATTCATTCTCTGTGCCACATCCCGACTACCAGCGTATCGCTGTTCACGTGGCACTCGCGTGCCACCTCGTTCCTCGACCGTCAAACACACCCTTTCATTCCTCACATCAGCTTGTCCTAGCAGAAAGTAAAAAGTTTCACATTCCGGTTTCACACTGTAAACAAGGAAGTGACATTGAACAAGAGGAGCTAAGGCTGGCCATCGCTTCGTCTTATGATCTATTTAACACTGGCACACTGCGTGATAATTTTGACATGCATTTATAATACACCACTTGCGTGACCCCTTCAGAATCGATGACTTCATCCCTAGGGTAGAATTTTGTACATATTTTATTTGTGCTCAGTTTTTGTCAAAGCACTTGGCCGGCAGCTGTCATTGAAGAGCTGGTTTTGGAACACCTGCACGGAGGGGGGCGGCAGCAATTTGGTGCGAAATGCACCACCGCTTGCTAAAGGGCAGTTTCCGGCACAACAGACAACAAGCACCCACCGATGCCTCTGGACATAGCTCTCCAGGTAGGGCCGAAATGTGGCCGATGGTGGGAAAATTCCCAGGCAGACGGCCATGAGCTCCCAGCCACGCAGTAGGCTCTCGGCACGTGGGTTGTCCGTCGTCTGCCGGCAGATCTGCATGTACAGCTCGTCCCGCAGTGGTGCCTGGCTCCACCCGCGTGTGGCAATCTCCACAGACACCTGCTCGGGTGTGGCTTTCCACTTGCGGTCACCCATGTAAGCCTACGCATTTGAACGGAGGGCAGGATGAACAAGTGCACAAGTGTGAGCAGTCAGCACGAGTGCTGAAAGCAACAGCCGTTCAGATGGCTGCTGCATTTGTCTCGAACAGTGCAGGTACCGTCATAGTTGGAAAGTCAACCTTACATTACTTTATAAACCATGCAGAATAAAACATAAAACTGAAACAATAATAATGAGGCACACTGCAGTGAAGTGCTCTGAAAGTCTTGACCACCAGGATTTTGTAACATGCACTGACATTGCACAGTGCATGCATCTTAAGCTTTTTGCTTTCATTCATCGAAATTCAACTGCCGTGGCTGGGCGCATAGAGTTTCCTATAAATACACTAGAGGCAACTCTGGCGCTGGTGTCTATGAAAGCTGCAACGCATGGCACTTCAGGTAGCAAGGAAATTATGGGTAGTACATGGATTTGTCTAAACTTCATGCTTTCAGCTCTGGTTGGCTTCACATGGCTCTAAGCTGTTTTGTCACGAAACAACAATCAGCAATAGTTTATCAGTTATGCTTCACCACCTTAATCTTTTAAGTTCACCAATTTGAATCGTATCGCAAAGCTCAAAACGGTTTGTACTTTTATTCAAAACAAAACAGAAACACTGCAACAAACAAAGCCACAGATGTGTTCGAAGCTCGCAAGCGCAAAGACTAGGCAAATTCGTGTACTACCCATCATTCCCACAATCGCTAAACGATCGCAGCGCCACGCCAGAGTCCCCTCTAGTTAATTTTCGGAAAGTCTATGACTGGGCGTGAACCTGCAACCTATGTGTAAGCGCCTGAGCACCGTAGTAAAACTGACGCAATGATGTGATTATGTTGATTCAGCTATGGTAGATGTAAAGCATGAAATGGTGCACCTGCATAAAACCATGCTACATGGGATGCAGAATGTTTTTCTTTTTTTTTTTCACAATGTGATCTGCTAGTATCCTACATTGATTGTGTGGTTCAGCTAACTGGCTTACACTATCAAAAGCGCAATAAGTACCCTATCTGTATGCGCAAGCGCATTATGCTTCCTTTGTTCCTAGGGCACGTAACACGTAATAAACGAGAAGTTATACGCAGCTGGGGACGGTACAAAGAAGGAGTGACTGTAGAGGTGCTGTCACAATGTCCGTCAACTGTTCTGAGACTGCATGCACGGGGCAGGTGATGACGCACCTGTATGAGCTTGAACAGGTGGCAGGCGTCGTGCTTAAGAGACTTGTCAGTGGTCATAATCATGGGCTGTCGGATGGGGTCCTTGGACCAGGAGAGCATGTCTCGCAGGGAGAACTTGCGCCGGAACAGGCCCCGCTTGTGCCGGTTTAGGTTGTCCTGGGCATACTGGACGATGTCGCTCTCGGACGGGGGCTTGCGCTCGGCGGACAGCGGCCGCAAGGCGGGCGATGTCTCCCGGGAGCCACCCGCCACCTGGAATGACTGCGCACGCAAGCAGATCGAAGACAAACAAATTGTGGTTCAGTCGTTGCTTGTGAACAGTGTGTACAAGCGCGGCGCGTTTGCTCTATGAAGTGGAAAATGTGAACAGGGTTTTCATGGGAAAGCTACGGCACGTGCATTCCATCTTAACTAGAACCACAAATGGTACTTCTACTAGCTCAGCAAATGTGGAATGCAGAAAGGCGCACTTGCGAATCAAGCAATCAGTCTATTGGCGAGATATTGAGCATGGATGGCCATTAAAGGAACACTAGGTTAATCATAAACCCATAAGATTAACTGACGTTTTTCTGCTATTTCAAGAAAAATGGCTGCAAGTGCTGAATATTGTTCAGATGTGTATATAAAATAGAAAGCCTGACATGCCATAATGACATATTTCAGCGGCACTTTGTAATCTGATGATGAATGGGTTAGTTGAATTGTGGTGTACTATACACAGACCAATGTAGTATATTACCTGGCCACGAGTTTCAATCATCGGTATGTAGCTGCTGGCTCTGCAACAACCTTATTTCATTAACCATGAATCACGGGCAAGCCTTCATTACTTTTGTAGCTATTGAAAATTGGTACTAACTATAAGGCAAGGATATGCCCCCCCCCCCCGTAAGTGGTTGTATAGCTAACAGGTGGCTACGGCACAACGCTGATAGGAATATAGGCATCAAGAGGTATCATGGTGCAAGCAGATAGGGCAAGGACAAGGAAAACCCAGCGGGACAAGCACTACTTTCAACCAAATCCACTTGGAAGAAGACATAATGGGACAAGCACCAACTTTCAACTGAATACAGTTGAACTGGATTCAGTTGAAAGTAGTGCTTATCTCGTGTCTTTTTCGTACCTGCCTGCCAGTGCTATGGCCACTTTTTATGCACTTAACGAACCAGCTTCAAAAGCTACACAGACAAATATAGGCAGAAAAACAAACTGATTTCAGGCTGATTTAGATGTTCGCTCAAATTATGTTTGGTGATAAGCATGTAAATAAGGTTTCTTCAATGTTAGATGCAGTCAGTAATCAGCTGCTTAAGTAACCCCACCTCTTACCATGTCAGAACTTTAACTAAGGCCACATCATACTAAGATGTACATCGATACAGTGAAACCCTGTTAATACGTACCTGCCGGGGACAGTGGCATAACTACGCACTAAACGTACTACACATTAACCACCAGCTACAAGTTTGCATCTCCTGACGTGCGCCATTGCCACCAACAAAGGAAGGAACTCAGTGACATGGGAAGCATTGCTTAAAGGGCCCACCCCAAAGCCATTTCTTTCTTTATGCCAAAGAACAGGAAAGCTTCTGACTCTCACACAACCGCTCGATAGCCTGCGGTGGAGACGCTGAGGAGCATTTCAAAACTACAGCAGGATCTGGGATACACAGCGTGGATACAGCGACAGAACGGACACAATCAGCTGTCCATGATGCAGTTTTTCCGCGGTCTGCTTCTTAGCAAAAACTGACACAGTTTTCTTTTTTAAATTGCGGTATAGCTGCAGAGAGCCAAATCGTTTACTGCATAGCTAGTTGCGTGCAGCACTTCCCTCATTTTGCGCACACCGTGACTGCCGAATTCAATCCGCTCGCTGTAGAGTACACCCTCTCTGCTTCAGGCCATGCATAGATTGGGCAAGTAGCCTACTGGCTTAACGCGGCGACGAAGGCCTTTTTGCAAGCAATGCTCTCTCCGCAACGCTATAGCAGTCCTGGCAGCTGACGGAGGTGCGTTTGGGCTGTCGCTAAATAAAAGCGTCCAGCATGCTAACAACAGTGCTGTGCTCGCTGTACGGTGCATGTATTGACATAATACAGCAAGGTTTCTCGGTGCTTGTGACCCGTAGCTCTAAACTTCCCGACAGCGAGCTGCTTGTGCTTCTGTAAGGTGCGCGCTTGAACACAGTCCTGTAAAATGAAGCGGCAGCGATCAGCTGCCCAGCACGTTCAGGCAATAGCATACTAAAAGCAAGCAGTGAACATAAAGTGATGCTACGCCACATGTGTGACCAAGCAGCTAACCAGGGATGCTTACTGTGATAAGGCTTTTCGCCAGCGATAAGTCACACCGGCACGTTTGTCGGTGGTCACCCCGTCGCCTTCATTTTTCCCCTGATGATTACTCGCAATATCATTGCCGCAATTGCGCTGAAGTTGGAATAACTTATCGGCTGATCTCCGCACTTATCAACATGACAGAAAACCGTTCACGGCACATTGTGGTGTCTGCAAGTTCAGCGGCGCAGTAAAATTTTGTGGCGCAAAGTGTTATTGCTGTACGCAGTTAGTACACACTAACCAATAGGCATAGGCCGAACACTATGGCCTAAGTGGTCCGCGAATGCATTAGTCTCTATGAGACTCAGTTGTGGATTCGTCGCAACTATGTTTTAACCGCTAGTACGCTTAAAGCGGATACGCACTAACGAGGTTTGACTGTATATATAAAGACCTCTACCCTAAACCTGCCGTCACCCTTCATGAAAAACAAACACTGTGCGCACCTGTGACTTTTCCAGCAGGCTTCCACCATCCGGCCGGGAGTGGCCGACCCGTCGCAGGGAAGCATGCTGGGTGGCCGCGGGGTGCCCCACAGGGGAGCCCGACGTCCAGCTGCCGTTATCACTCTCGGCTGCACACCAAAGTGCGTCACATAAGCCTGCAGCTTCAGTTCGCCAAGGCGAAAATGTACAGTCACGGATAGTAGAAATATGAACAAGTTAGATTTAACCAAAACACCTTCTTGTTTTGACCACTAGGCTCAACAACATGACTTTGCTTGTGTGCTTAAATTTGGGCCCTAAACCACCTTTTGCAACAACATAATTAAAGTTCCAAGAGTGTTCTGGAGTGATCACTCACGAAAAAAATTCTACTTTGCAATTTCTTGTTCATATTTCATTTCTATGGGACGATACAAAAGTTTGGTGAATTTGCAGCAGAGGCTGCCGGAACGTTCTACAGTTCAATTTGAGACGACGGACACTTTGAAGAACCTGCTGATGCCTTTATTTGCCACTTCGTCCATTCTCGTGCCACTTTAATAGGACAATAGAAGAGGAGAAAGACGACGCAGAATAAGAACAGCCGGCCTGGCATATCGGCGTTGTGTCTCATTTCTCCCTGACATGCATTTTATAATTTACTATACTTGGAGTATATAAGTCGGCATAACAACCTTTTAAACTAAGATGTGATGAATTGATGTGAGGTCAACTTTGTTCATCCAGCCTTGAACTGGGGCTTCGCGGCAGTGTAGATTTTAAGTGCTTTCACGGCACAGCACACCTTCAATGCAGTGAACCCACCTTTCTGAAAGTTACATGTCTAATATAACCATCTACTGCTTTGTTCGTTCATTCAAACTACTCGAATATTCGCACCAGCCTACTAAACTGCATTGTGATATCTTTCTACCAAAGTGCCTGGTGGGTGCATGTTTTCAACTGCCAATAACACGATGAGAGAACCTGAGGCCAGCTCGTGTAGAACTTCTGGTGCTTTTGGTAGTAGCCTTTCAGTGGCCGTTAATCACCGTGTTATGTGCTTGAGAACATGAGCTGAATTCACTTCTTTTTATTTCTTTCAATTATTAATGAAATCTTGTATATTTCATATTTGATTCGATGTTCAATATATTTGGCAATTATTTGGCAGTGTTCAATTCAAATGTGATTTGAAATGACATTTCACTGTCCGCACACCCCTACTTAACAAGGCAAGTTTTATGAAAACTTATTGAGCCATAGTGATTAAAATACCTAACTACGTTTGAAGTCTCTGATGTCATGTGGCATTCAGCTGGGATGCTGGCATGGAACTCAGAAGTGAAATGCGAATTTTCATTCTCCCTTATAACAGCAAAACTCCTGATCGCAGAACTAACTTTGCTAGAGTCCTCAGGAAATAACTTATCAATCTAAACTGATAAGTTATCCCGACTTAGTGCTTATTGTTCTGATTTGGAACAGATAAATATACAGAAGGCCCTTGTTAAACAGAACCTGAAGGGACCAGAAAACTATGTTCTCTTTTACAGTAGCCCTGTTCACTGAGAGATAACCAAGGGTGCATATTTCAAGTACAAAACCAATCATATTCAAAACAAATGTTCCATTTAAGCAGCCATTCCATTTTAAACGATCCCCGTTTACCAATAGTCTACTGCAGTACACACATCTTACAACTGGTATAAAAAGTTTAAAAGTTCAATAAAACTAGCACCGCAAAACCTCCATCCAACCAGGTCTCACCAGAGAAGCGACCCGCCACCGTATCGTGGCCGTCTCCCTCGTCCTGCGAGGATGACGGTGAGGATGGCGCACTCATGGCCTCGTCGTCGGCAAAATCTTCTTCGTCGTCGTTGTCGTGGCCCCAGTCGCCGGCCGCCGAGGAAGCCGACGACGAGGAGCCATCCTCGAACAGGTCTAGCCGATAGCCGAGCAGTTTGGCCTGCTCCAGGATGTAGTGGTGCAGCGGCAGCTGCGCACCACACCGCAACGCTTCCCGCTGCACAGCATACCACGTACATACTGTAGGAGGGGCTGTGACACAGTTGTATAAGAATTCTTAGCCTAGACGTTATGTCGGAAACAACACATGTGACTGAGCAAGCAGGTAATCCGTTGGGAAAAGACAACAGCAACTCCAGTTGGTAATTCGCCATGTCCGAGTTTGGTCATAGTTCCACGTTCAAACGCCTCATTTTTTATTCCATCTTCTCCATCACATTTTGTACATCTGTTGCAAAGGTTACAGACAGAATCAAACAAGCGCTCACAAATGAGGACGGGGCTAACCTTGCGGTGTTGCCGTGGAGACGGGGCTGGACTTGTCTGCGTGGAGACGGTGCATGTTGTCGGTTCCTCTCGTACCTGCAGTGGCAGTCCAGCATCGCAGTGAGTCCGTAACGAATGGAAACCTCAGGACTACAATGAAATACGATGAAGCGCTTGGCTTTAATAAAATACTTCATTACAAAAGTCCTTTTGCTGGACTGATTGTGCAATGCAATGCATGCTATTTCACCCAGGATGTAGGGAATCCTTTCTTTAGCAAACCATTTCATTCTAGAGCTATGTGGCTGTAAACAAATGTATGTCTGTTGAGAGATTCTAGTCGCAATTGCATGATGTGTGTATTTATTGTGCATGTATTTGGGCTGCACTTCAATAATACTTATCTGTGCATAGCATTCATGAACATCAATATGTTTTGTTCTTGTTTACTTGCGATAAGTGTTTTAAGCAACAAATATTGCGGAGTTGACCAAGACAGCCTTCTAATGTGTGTTCCACTGCAGCATTCTTTTGACAGCAAGTGAAATAGCAACTTGACTGAATTTCAGTGCTCATGTTGCTCACAAGTCACTAGATCAGCCTTTGAAAAACTCCCACTGCCATGCAACACCTGTGCTGAAGCAACCACAGTCATCACTGACTGGACCCCATCTGTGAGATCCGAAATGCTTGGCATGTGAACCACGTGAAAGGTGAATGCACTGCCAGCCTTTGTGACATGCAGATTCATGATAATTCAGGCAAAAAAGAAAGAATGGAATGCCTGAGGCTATTTCATTGCATGCAGAACTAATAAACTAATAAGAACAATGAAACGGTGAGGAAACTAACAGCCTGTAGAGAGCAGCCATTTGCAGACAAGCTGTCTGAATGGTGCCAGAATGGACGTCAACTTGATTGCTCGAGTCATTGGCAACTTTATTTCCATGGCAATAATATGCAAAAGTGACTGTTGCTTTGACTTTGGATTTGGCTTGAACTAGAGGCTGTGTAATCACTCACAAAGGTTGGGTAGTAGTAGTCACAAAAGAAATGCAACAAATGCAGATTGCAGCAGTCACACTACCCTCTGAATGTGCTACACTAACGTGAAATTCATCAAAATAAGTGTTTCTTAAGCTAATGCTGCTGACTGACTGCATTTGCTTCTTGTTATATGGAACCTCTTCGGCCTTTTCACTGTCTGGTGTTCTTAACCGTGAAGCATCCCCAGTGTTGGCATGGTTTCGGGAAGATCAGGGAGGCTTGAGCCACAGAGAAATGACACATTGTGAAGTCAAAATGACGGATAGTTGTGGGAAGGGGATACGACAAACTCTCTTACTGCTGATGGCAGCAAGGGAGGAAGCAACGGTGAGGGCACCTGAACTTCACACACACCGCACCAGACAAGCCAACGACAAAGGGAGAAAGAGAAAGAACCTGCAAACCTGTGGCAGATTACATACCCCTGAACCCATAATTGCATGCATGCCGTGTGGTCACTCCATCCGAAGGAGTAGTGCGAGCACAGCACGGGAGGGCGCGTGTGGTCGCTCCATACTCTACAATACTACACGCAAGAACAGGCATAAAGACATGTTTCTAGACAGATTTTCCATCCATGGAACAACCATCACCAGAATCACACAAGATACGCCAGCTTTGCACTTTGGTGTAAATTTTTGAACACACAATGAAGAATGTACTGGTACATCAGTGACACTGCAGGGAGAAAACGTGGGAACGTACCAGTGTTACTGATGTACCGCTACAACAGCGGCAGCAAAAAGATTAAAAAAAAATTCTTACACAACTACTGCAAGTTAACTTCCATTGAGGCACCCTGGCAGCTAGTGCAAACTATAGCAGGAATTAAAAAAAGAAAACATGCAAGGGAACAAAAGAGGCACTTACTCTGGTCTGCGTTCCCACGGACTCTTTTCTAACCGGTGACCTCAAGATCTGCTCTTCGAGCTCTGTGCTCTCTTTCAACGTCTGCAACACCCACCACAACCCAACGCAGAGCGTTCAAAATAAAAAGCAGGAGGGAAAAAGCATACAACGCAGGACCCCACATTATTGTCAAACTGTCATTGTGCCATGCAGAAACAAGGCTTCAAGCAGCAGGAGTTCATCTACGGTGACCAGAGAGTGGCAATGTGCGCAACGTGTGGTGAAAAGTTCTCCCCTCTGTCCCACTATTCTACATATTTCCACAGTAATCATATGCAAAAGAAGCGGAATTCCTTGAGAGAAACTTCATGTCTTCAGTAAGAATTCATGAAAAATGCTGAGTCATGGGAATGACATATGGAAAGATTTAGTAAGAATAATACTGGCAGGGCTGCATCAGGCATAGTAGTTACGAGTGTCACTTTCAGAGATACAATTAGATTTCCAACACTGTGCATAACTAGCTACAATGCATCAGAATCTTGTAGCAACAGTGTTCTAGGACAATGGCAACGTTGCTCGTAGATGCTGGCACACCTGGTGATTCGTGACCCAAAGTTTCGTTGAAAGCGACACCACTCTCGAAAGCAAATGACCGAGAATACTGCCTCAGCTGCACACTGGTGCCAATCTTTAGGCATTACACATCTGCATCCACAGCTGGCAAACATTGGCCTCTCTGGTAACGGCAGCTTTGATCCCCCCCATCAAAACTAAATAAGGTGCAAGACCCCCCACAAGGGTCCATGCACATCACAGATGCAAAGGGACATGCACAACGCATATGGTATAACACAAATGCACACAAAAGGCAGTAAACAAGATAAACAAAATAAAATTCAGAACACAAAAATGGCAAGAAGCAACCAGGCAGAAAAGTAGTGGTGTGCACTACGCTGCCAACTAGGAGGCTACCATGACACGGTATGATCTTGCAGACCCGTCATTGGAGAGGGTGCACAGGCTATGGCAGGTGTGAATGTTTCTTGCTGCCCAATCAAGCGACATGATGAAGAAACACATTCCATACAGTCTGTGCTATTTGTGAACTGAATCCTATCAGTCTAAATTGGAGTATTTCCTGCACACTAAGTATGTATGCCATTTTCAGGACACCTCTTTTAATGTAACGTAATCGTCGTATATTCTAAGCCATTCCGAAACATAGTGCAGCGGGTGTTCTCCATCAAAAAATGCTATACACCTCCTCTATTCCAAGACGATCACTTTTGGAGATGGCTGTGCAACTGATATTAGAGCACACCGACTGTATGGGTGAAGAAAGGCAGGCAAGTAGTCGCTTCAGTCGCTGGATCAAAGAGAGCCTATGTCACGAAAAGTGATAATGTTGTCGAAAGCAATTACGGAATACGGCTCCAGGCGTCCCACAGAGTCTCCTCTAGGAAAATACTACCATTGCGTTAACCACTCAGCCACTACTGCAGCGACTCCAGGAAAATACTGCTGGTCAAGCAGTACTATTAGAAAAGCAGGATTATGAAGTAAGATCAGTGATGGCTGTTGCCTGACAAAATTATCGAAGGTGTGCCAATATGAAATGTGCACTGATTACTGTAGGAACTGGCTCAGCAATGAGTGTTTTGTTTTATAAAATATACATCAGGCATTGTACTACCACCAATTTCTGGCAGCCACACTTCCATATCCCTGCCCAGTAAGCTGTCATCAACATGTAACCTAGAGTGCTCACAGACTGAAACGTAACAACAAAAATTTTGGTGCAACCACTGCATTTGCAACGCCTCTAGACCACTGTATCATGTCACTCAAAAATTGGGCTACTAAAAGTAATACTGGCTCTAATGTAAGTGTCCGAGTTGAAATTGTGTGGATATGACATAAACTGTAAGCGGTTAAAAGTGGAAGGTGGCAAACTGAAAATTAAAGCATGTGCATTAGTTGTCACATTTCAGTCTGTGAGCGCTATACGCTATATTCACTCGATCAGTCTCGCATATTGACACTAAACTATGCAAACTCATATGTTGCTTTCATTTCTGGACAGACACACGTCACCCTTGTTTTCCATTTTTATGAGCTCTTCACAAAGTGGTAGCATTCACATTTACAGAGTACCGTACCCTAAAAAGCTTTCTGGTTGAATGAAATGCGCTACATATATATATGATGCTACTGTCATGTAAAGCCCTCTGAAAGGGAGCCTTTGAGGTATATTAAATTTTTAAAAATGCAGCGACCAAAACTTTAAGACAAAACGATTTTATTAAGAAAGAAAAGAAGCAGGTTTCTTGATGTGCAACAATCACTGATGGAAAGTGTTCTATTTCTTGTCTTTGTTTCGAAGCACCACTGCAAACAGGTGGTCCAGATGGCCTTCAAAGTTGGGTAGCGCGAAGTTGTACAAGAGTAAGAAGCAACACAGATGCACAGGACAGATGCTACTTGCAACTAAGCTTTATCCTGAAATGTCTCCCTAGGCGCAATGTAGATGCATTGCAGGTGACAGTCAAAAATACACTGCAGGATTGGAAGAGCAAGACATACGCACATCACAAAACGCTTAGTTACGAGTAGCGCCTGTCCTGAGCATCTCCGTTCTTTTTTTGTGTTGTATGATTTCGCACTATCCAATATTGCGGATTATGGCCCAACTAGTGCAGCAATGTATTTTTTAAATGTCCACACGGCGTCATTACCATTTCAAGAACACCTCCTTCTTTTTTAACCTGCTGGGGGACTAACCGCTCAGCAATATGATTTTCTCACACAAGCCAGAAACTTTCAGAAGCCAATTGTGGCTGCTTCAATTAAACAGATGCCATCACTACATAAACAAAGCATTACGCAGGGAACCTGCAATCTTCCAGGCTCCTGAGGAACCATTAAATTGTCAGCAATATCATGCAATATTAAAATAATGACAAATATGTGCCTTTTATTGCCCGTAACGGCTTAAATCACCATGGCCACTGCATCATTAGTGATCAAGGCTAGCCATTACAGTCACTAGGTGCCTCAGAAATCATGCTGTGACACAAAACAGCGGGTGGCTGTAAATGTAGTTGAATGCACATCTACTTATACAATACTGAAACCTTTACATTCTTATTATGCTTCGCCACAATATTTCATGTGATTGACTGTGTCACACCTTGCATAATGATGAAGACAACCTTGAAAGGCGTTATGGCTGCAAGCGAATCGGCACTCAAGATTCGCTCCCATGAGGACGAAATTAAAGATTTATCTATGCGTTGGCTGTATGGCATATGTGGCGATTCTGTGATGATGTTCCAGTCATCGGGCATGCCTGTTAAATTGCCTCAACTACACGCCCCTTCAAAACAAGCAGGCACATAAAGCTGACCTAATTAACTATTTTGATTGTCAAGGTAATAAAAAGTGGGCGTTCTGATACTGTTTCAATTAAGAACAGTCCCGAGCACTCAATCTACGAGGGTTTAAACATGAGCGGCTACATACTATGTTCTATTTCAGTTCCATCATTGTTTCTTTTCTTCACCCTCTCAAAAACCAACTAGAAAATAACAAAGGCTTGGAAGCCCCAGTATATCTACTAATATAACATAACTTAAAATAAAGTTCGTTGTTCTATTCTGAAGTACAAACAAAGACTTCTACATTTCAATGAGATGTGCACATGCATTTGGGATGTACGCAAGATCTACTTACACTTGATCTGGACATATGCAACTCCAACCAAGACCTAGCGGTACTATATTATGAGAACACTCAAAACAAAAGCATGGCTGAAAAGAACCTGTTCTGCATACCAAGCATCTACAATATTACTCTTTCTGTGAGTACGCTACACAGGACACTAAAGATGGGGCTGTGTGCACCGCACCTATAAGATGACGTCCTCTAACGAGACAAAACTAAGACATCATGCATCTTTCTGAGATTGCAATTTACTCCATGACATTATTCATGTGCCTGCCCACAGGTAATCTTATGAAAGGATGCAGAGAATAAAAAAAAAGTCAATGTCATTTTCAGTATATCAGCAAATACAGCCTCCGCTCACAATACTGAAGTGAAATTGTCCATCACCTCTTTAAAGGGACACTAAATTCAAATAACAAATTATGTGAGAGAGAAAGCTCAATGTATGACGTCTAAAATGACAATGCTATCAGCAGCAGTGCCCTCCTTGCCGAGAAATTAAGGTGAATGCACGAGACCACATGCACCATGACCAGGACATTCGCAAAATGATTCCGATGACATCAGGCATACCATCTACAATTATTCACTAGTAATTGAACTAGCTGTACTAAATAAAGAACTTTCTGCGCATCAACAGACTTAACAAAATGCTACTTGCTTGTTTCTGTTTGATTCATGGAAAAAAGATCAGCCAGATGTTACTATGGGGAATGGCGCGAGTGGTTCAAACATTCAATTCTCGCCATGTTGACCTAGATAAGTCGTGCCCTCTAGCGGGGCCCATTTGAACCATGCATGTCTGTCATCGCAGAGGCCATGGCAGGAAATTGTTCAATGGCCGTTGTTGCTGCTCTGGCTTCTGCTACCTTAGTTCTGATGCTACTGGTGTCGGCAGCCGCGCAGTAAAGCCGTGCAACGTTCTACACAGCGACGTGAGACGTTCTGCTTGAGGCGGGTGATTTGAAGTGCTCTAACCCAACGGAGACCACTAAAACACAATTTTATTTGAAAAGAAGCACTTCTTTCGCACGAAAGTAACACTACAAGATTTTCGGACCGCTATTTCAACAATCAAAGTCAACTTAATAGTTGCCTTAAGTGTTCCTTCAATGTAGGTCGCCAGCTTTCATGAAAAACTTTTAAAAGTTGTACTTCAAAAGATATAACCATGACTACAACTGTAATGAAGAAACATTCAATATGCCTCAAATTCCCCAGGCTGATAGCTTGGGACCTGCTCTCAAGAGGCAAGCAAGCTGACGCACACATTTTTTTTCCTACCTCATTTTGCTTCTCGAAATAACTTTGATACGCATGCAGCAAAGCAACCAACTTCGCATTACTTCGTATGTTGCTCTCAGTTTAGAGAGAGAGAGAGAGAGAGAGAGAAAACTTGCCCAGAAAACAGCATATGAAATGTTCGGTATTCTAAAGACTAGATGTCATACTGCAAAAATAACTGCTTATTGAAACTAGCACATGGACAGTATATATGTACTTGGCAAGTTTCAACTAGATCAACAAAGAATTTTAAAGAAAGATTCAAAGAGTAGCATCTCCTCCTTAAAGGGACACTAAAGGTAACCAAACCACGTATACAATGTGTTTTATCACATGGTTAAATAAATAAAATCAACTTAAATCAACTTGACTATTAAGCCGACGTTGATTGTCGAAATAGCGGCACAGAAACCTCATAGTGTTACTTTTGTGGCAAGGAAGAGCATATCTTAAAATAAAATCACGTTTGAGTGGTCCGCATCAAGTTAGCGCACTTCAAATTTCCCGCCCCAAGAAGCGCACCAACCGGACCGACTCACGTCACTGTTGCCGTGAACAACGTTGCTCGACATTACTGCGGTAGTGGCAGCAGACCGAAAGCAGCGGGAGCCACTGTCGCAATAATGGCAATTGATCAATTTCCCGCCATTGGCTCAGAGATTGCAGAGGTTTTTTTTGTTCAAATGTGCCCCGCTAGATGGCACCACTTGTCCAGTGTAACTACGCGAAAATTGACTTTTTGAATCACTCGTGCCATTCCCCATAGTAACGTCCGGCCTGTTCTTTTTTCCATGAATCAAACAGAAACGAACAAGCAGCATTTCAATGCCTCTTGATGCATAGAAGGTTCTTTATTTATGCAGCTAGATTGATTAATAGTGACTAATTGTAGGCGGTCCGTCAGATGTAATCGGGATCATTTTGAGAATGTCCTACGCATGTGTTCTTATGCATTTACCTTAATTTCTCGGTAAATAGGGCACTGTTGTTGATAATATTGTTGTTTTAGATGTTGTCATACATTGAGCTTTCACTCTAATGTAAATTATTATTTGACTTTAGTGTCCCTTTAAGCATCAAGAAATGACACAAAACTCAATATATTACTTCTAATACCCTGAATGCAAATTTAAACTTGGGAACTACAGTAACTTAGTTGCTTTAAAGCCGTGCCAAAGTTCTTCTGGGTGCAATTAAGTCAGTAATTAACAAAATACTAAGTCAGTAAATATTACTTAATTTCTTTTTTTCAGATTGTATCCTCCATGCCTGGAAACATAGAGCGATGAAGCTAGAGTACACGAATACAATGACCAAGTTCAGTTGATCAGCCTCTTGTGCAACGGTCTCTTAGGGAAGATGACTGAAATCCATGCCTGAGTGAGCCAACAGCAAGGGTATTGCTGTCGAACTGCACATTATAGCGTCACAGGTGCCACCTGATGCATCGTAGTGGTTGCAGTACTCTAGCGGCCAGAGTTTTTGTTCACACACCACTGCTATTGTGCTAGTTACAAAAGATTATCGAAAGCATAAAGTATCAGTTGCATGCATGATTTCATACGCAATATTCACAAGAAATAATAGACAATGATGCGGAGAGAAGTATAGGGGATGTTATTAGAAGCAATTTTACTGTAAATATGAAGAAATAAAAGTGGACAAAAAGATAACTCGCCACCAGCAGGATCCTCTTGGTATTATTGTTTCTTAGTTCTCGTTAATATTGCGTAACAAAAGAAAACAAGCGCTTAAAAATTTATACTTCTTTTTTTTCATGATTTCGTGCAGTATCTGTCATAAGGCACTGCCAGGTTGCATAACAGGTCATCTGTGAGTTATGGGGAAAGTTTCTGGTCATCGCCACGGCTGATTTATCGCCTGAATTGCATAGCAAGCAGTAGAGCAGGGACAGCAGCAATCGGGTTGCTGCCGTAACTGTTGGCGTCTCCGATTCACCTGGGTGAGCCGCCTCGAGGGAGCACTGACCTGTAGCTTGGCTAGGGGGATTATATCGCAGTTCTTTGGCCGGTGCCAGACGGTCAGTTGGCTGCTGGCGTTGTAGTAGTAGAAGCGCGACGTGTTCTGGTCAAACAGCTCCCACCACTGGTTGTCATCGGTCAGCTTGCTGCATGGACAAAGGAGTCTGGCTTGAGTAAATGCACATCCCCTGTGGCACATATCCGCTACGCGCGTCCGTCTGCTAGTCTGTCTGTCTGTCCGTCTATGCGTTTGTGCGTGCGTTCATCTAGTGCACACTCCAAGTACCGCCATCTCCCATCTCGCATTCCCTGTGGCATATACCTGCTCTAGAACGGGTATGTACCACAGGGGATGTGATATGGGAGATGGCGGTACTTGGAGTTATTCGAACGGCACTGGTGGCTACATACATCAACGGAGGATGGACAGACCCACACCTTAAGAGTTTAGCCCCTAAAATTAACCTGGCATCCCCTACTATGGCGTGCCTCCTTCAAGTTTTGGGTTTAGCGCATAAAGCACCATCGCTATTTTTTTTAGATCCCGTAATAGTTCACCTTTATACACTTGTAGCTACAACGTTTGTATTTGTGCCTTGGCTAGCAGTTTTTGCGAGAGCATTAATGCGAGAGCATTAAGGAGCACATTCTACAGAAATCTTGGTGCATCAGTGTCGGTATGAGCGTTGTTGGTTATGAGCAAAAATTTGAGATACACACAGGTAAATAAATAATAGAATCTACGGTTCGAGCGGGAATCGAACCCAGACTTTATGTGTGCCACAAGCAGGTTGGTAGAGCCTTGCCTTAGCTTGAAACATTGTCGAAAAAAGAAAAAAGAAAAACTAGAAGAATGGTGGGTAGTGTGAAGAACCTCTTAACGCATCTAATACTGTGTGGCTACAGCCTAAAATTGCACCAGGTGTCAAAATATGTGAATTCCACAATGAGTGGTTGGTCTAAAAGCCCACCCATTACAAAGTGTTCAAGCATAATTTATCATCTTCGCCAACAGCAACAACAAAGCGTGCAGCTGCACGTGTTGGCCAACGAACGCATTGTGGGTACTTCGCCGACTCGCGAAAAAAATTTCGGTGTAGCGGCCACTTTGCAACTGTAGTTGCAATAGCATTTCGGGATAGATTGAAGCGACCAATATTACGTGCACAGTCATTTCTTTCCTCATTGCATGGTTAAGATTTCCACTAAAAAATGAAGCAAGGCTAGCAATTGAGAGGGTGATGCAGACACGGCCCAATTATGCTATCGCGTTCTGCTCTTGAAGGCAAAGCTCAAGCGCCTTTCAAATTTCATCTTTCTTTGCATGCCTTTGTCTGAAACCGCATTATTCTTTCCTTCGATGTATTGAATGAAAGCCTCTGACAAGTTATCAATAAGCGAATCCCCTCAATAAGACATACTGCCACCGCCAAATAATGCTTTTGAGATGAGCTTTGATGAAAACATGGTCTAAAAAGATACTGCTTAAAATTTCATGAAAAGTACTTATGTATTAGAGGCATAATCTATAATTTAAGGAGCTATCCTTTATTGCGATACGCACAAAATAAATGCGAGAGCATTTTGCGCTACTAAGAAATGCTCTTTCAAATACACCGACACTTCAGTACAAAGCTTATAGAAAATGTGCTTTTAACAATGTAGGATGTTCTTAAGTAGAACACTTATAGATTTTTAGCAGATGTCGGGGGCATATATCGCAGATGTGCAGACAGTGTGTGTTAGCACAACTTTTGTCTGCTTACTGCACACCGCTTCGACATGCATAAATAATTTCAGTTTTTACTCATGGAAAATCATTGTAAACGGAGACAGAAAAAGATCAACACAAATGGCGAATTCAGCAGCAGAAAAATGAAAATTTTGTTCCCCAGCGTGACAAGAGAAGGAAAGGCGTGATCTACTAGTTAAAGAGGTAGTGACCAGCAAAAAATGACAGCATATCTACGGGGTGAATGATGGACAGCGGGGCAGAGCTGGGTCCGCACGCCGATGATGCGCCGCTTCGGCCTCCTGTTGTCGTACTGCAGAGTCCTCACGGTAGCACCGCGCAGCTTCGTGGCGTACTTTTGCCTCGTGCGCCCGCACATTGGGGACCCTTCTTCGAGCGCACGCCGTCGCTGCTCAGCAGCCTTCTCCATCCTCTGTCGCCAAGCCTCTGAATGCCCACGCGCGCCAAAATGGCGCTTTTATTGTACTATAGAGCGCCCCCTGGCGTATGGTGCCGCCGAAGCACAGGCGATTGCCTCTCTCTCCTTCCGTATGTGTGACGTTGATCTTTATTTTCTACAAGTAACACCCTCTAGTGTTGTACCATTTGCATCTTTCAGCATATAGTAAAAGTACTTCCCTCTATAACCGGTTCAAGAACTAACGAGGGATGCTTACCCACAACGGAGAAGCAACAGCCATGCCATAAGGAGCTTTGCCCCTGAAAACAACTCCTCCTATTTCCCGAATTTCCAATGCCATTTAAAATTCTGTTTCGGTAAATAGTCACTTAAAATCACTTTTCACTGAGACTGTGCATCACTATCACGTAAGCTGTTATACTGTATACCATGCTAATATACCATTTAAATGATCCAACATAATATTTGCAGTGCCAAAATATTTTATTTCTGTAATTTAGACGTTTTGTAGGATTCATGCTTCAAAATTTTTTAATGACTTACTGATTTTCAGCAAGTTCTGTAAAAAAAGGAAGAATAAAAATAAGCAAGGCTTTGAGTCAGAATTCTTCTTTCTAGTGCAGCGAAACTTTAACTCTGTCTTTTTAATGCAACCAGTAACCAGTATCATTCAAACTGGTCACGCAGCTGTCTTGTACAAGCATTATACCTAGGCTTCACGAGGGAACTCGTGAAGTTGTCTGGCAGCTAAGCTTCTTTGAACAAAATGGCATCCAACCTGAACCAAGAGCACAGTATTGGTTAGAGAAAAATTTATTCTGCTTGAATTTTCGTTCAGGCAGCTATGCCACTCCTGTTTTCCAATATGCTTTGCACAAATAGCAACTAATCTTTTGCTGGCTATAATTCTGTACCTCAGAAATCCCTTAGAAACCCTATGCGAATCTATGCCTATTATCAGAAGCATTCACAGCCCCTTTTATGTGTGAGAAAGTGTGCAAGGTTCTCATTTGTGTGCCACAACAATGAATTCACTTCAGTAATTTTCACTGCACCATAGCTGAGCTATGTGGTGAAGTACAGTACTCACACCCTGAAATGGGAGAATTTAGAGCTAAGCAACGCCCATACTGTTAGTTTCCACCGTCTCCAGTTCGGGCTGCATCGGCGTAAGTTCGACTCTAATGCAGAGATCAGAGCCAACACTATCCGATTCGTCACAACACGACATGGTTATCTCGAGGAATGGTGCATTCGTTGTGCCAAAAATTTTAATGTCGCATTTGAATCTGAGTACTGTACATGAAATGTTACAAAGTAAACCATACAACATGGGGCCTTGAAGACAGTGAACTACACCATAACATTGCTGAAGTAGCATTGGGGCCATAATTTAACTCATTATATCTAATATTCATTGTAACAGCATAAGCTCTAAAAGATTGTGTGTAAAAGCTATATAAAAAAGGAGGATCAAAAGTGTGTGTGTCAGACGTCACTGGCCATAATAGATAAATAAGTGTCTTTTCTAAACCACACTGCCTTACAAGTTTCTGCAGTTTTATTTAAATTATTCACCTTGCCATGTTGTTAGGCTAATTTCCTAGCAATGTGTGAACTATATCTTTCAGTTATGTTTTCTGCATAGTGATGTAAGCATGGTACTACGTATACGATTTCCTTCAGTTTTTCTTCGATACGATTTCGTTGAAAGTAAGCGCTTATGTCGTGCTCTGCAGTCTTTGTCCCCATAGCCAGTGCACACTTTCAGATAAAGATAAAGAAAATCGTGATATAAAAACATAATATTCTTAATTTAAAACTCATCAATAAAACAATCCTTGCCTCAACCCTTGTTTCAATTCAAAGTAGACCTACTGGATCTGTTAAACGTGAGATGACCACGTGTGCGCATGCACGCACGTACACATGCACGCACCCACACACGCGCGCACACACACACACACACACACACACACACACACACACACACACACCACACACACACACACACACACACACACACACACACACAATTACCCATCGTCATAATGCAAGCTTCCAATATTTTTCTCACTCTGTTCATACATTTTAATATGACACTACCAGTCAAATCCCCCCCCCCCCTTTTTTACACCTTGCTGTTTGAACGAAAATTTAAGATTTCCTGAACCACATTTCAAGCGAAAATTTTACAGCCACAGCCACAGTGGTCATAAACTGTCTTTCAATATCTGCTATGTTTTTTACACCAGGTTTAGAGTTTTAAGCCATGCGTAAACTGAATACACTCAAATCTCACAATAACAAAATTTTATTTTAGATGAAAATAGGTTCATTATATTCAATAATTTGGTACAAAGGTTCTTTCCTAACAGTACAACTACTGCAAGACTATTTTTAATTTACTTTGTTATAACCAATATTTCATTATATCTGGGTTAAATATATCTAGACGTCAGTGTATTTCTTTGTTAAAACTGATATTGCAGCCGCTCTCATGTTTTCACATCCTAGCGACTCTTACGCCCATGTCCAGTTTCCCACTGTAGAAAGCATGTCTTGTTTTGGCCCTGCCATGAATAGTCTATATGAAAATGCCAGCACTCACATCTTGACGCCTATGGGTGGATCCCAGACGCACTCGCCCGTCGTCAGGTTGGCGTACATGTGCTCCTTGGTGCGGGGTTCGATGATTTCCACCCATTCCACCCTGCGTGAGAACAATCGAGACAGGACATCAGCGTACGCCCACACATTTCTTCCATTCGCACTTCACGACAACACCGGAACTGGTCACAAGAGTCCGAGAAGCTATGCCATAGAAATCTTTTTGCCATTGTTCATTACATATCACAAACTAGAGGAGGAGACAAACAAACATTAAATAATTAAAAAATAAAAGAAATATGACAACATGAAAGCTCACTTACAACTAGTCCTTATTCTAGAGAGCACATGAACATGTACAGGGTGGCCTAAATATAGTGCAAGATAGTGCAAGATGAATAAACAACTATAAATCTTTTAATGGATAAATGAAATGAAATGTACTTTATTTTATTTGTAAGGACAGTTAATTGTATTAAAGAACTGAAATTTAAGTTTTGAAATGCCCACCTCGTGCTTCTATGCAGGCTTGAACGCGGTCTCGAAAGATTTTCAAAATGGATGCAATAGATCCTGGAGTTGTAATTTCTCCCACGCCTTTGCAGAGCACGCTTGCATAACTCTATCGACTTGGGTTTGAAAGAGCGCACCTTTTGCTCCAGGATTCCCAAACACGAAGGTTCATAAGGGTGAGCTAAGCAAGGTGGACGATTGGGCCAGTTGGTGATACATGATCTAAGAGTACGACGCGGTAGTAATGTTTTCTTTTTTCCTGGTTGTTATTTATATATGCAATGCAGGATGAATAAACCTTCAGTTGATAGTCTGCGCTTGTCCTTGTCTTTTTCCCGTCCGTGTTTTCTACCGCGTACTACTCTTAGTTCATAAGGGTGAGATAGGGCAAACCTGACAGCCAAATATCCTTCCTTCAGAAGCAAGGAAAGTTTGCCCGACACTACTCAGGAGTCATCCTCGCTTTGTGGGCAAATAAAATAAAAAGCAAGATCGAAAATACATTACAGTATTTGTTTTTTTTTGGTCACCCAGAACAGCTATTACCTATGACAGGCATGATAAAACACGCTCCGAGGTGAATTCTGCACTTTGCAGGCCCCCGTCCACTTTCTCGGACAGTAGCCCTGCTATCTGCCATTGCATTGTGTCATTTACGAAGCAGTCTTGGTTACTACTGCATATGGTCTTAACCAGCCCAACAAACCAAGGCAAGAAGCTTACGCTGAATAGATATATCAGACAAGTAGAAGAGGTGTGAAGTTAAGTCTGAAAGACGTGGTAAATTAAATGTTAATTAATTTACTCGCTATGCAATACACGTGAACCAAAAGTGTCACCAAGAATAATTGTCAGCTAAATGAAACCAGCTGTATGTTTTGAAATATGCCAACCTGAGAGCTGAAATGTCATTTCAAGGCACACGAAGAAGTTTGAATGACACTTGAAAAGTGTACAGATTCTTTTAGGTGTGGCACAATCTTGTCACATAGTTTTGTCTTTTTTATTATTATTTATTTTTTCACTGTCGTCCATCGCTGTGGATGGGCGATAATAAAGAATACAGCTGCCAAAGTGTGAATTAAAATTGCTCTATGTGCCGGGTTGTGCCGAAAAGAACAAAGAATCCTCACAGTACTGAGATAGGAGAAAGATGTTGTCATTTGTTGAAAGCTGTTCTTAGCGTCGGAAGTGCTGGATAGATATACATGTCATCGTGCATTCCAGTGTTATTGCTTGGAATTGCATTCATTTAAGAATGAGCACCATTACTACTGTTGCACACGCAATTAATTACAGACATTATTTCTTTTAGGTGTTATGCCCAGAAGAACAAAGAATCCTCACAGTTATTTCACTACAGAATCTGCAATATCCCTTCGGAAAATTTTGTATGTGTAAAGGCGCTTACTTCACTGAGCATATACTTCATAGCACTTGTTAGTCGGAAATAAATAAGTGACTGGAAAAACTTGAACAATATATAGTCTTGACCGAATGAGCAAGTATGACAATTTTTACATACGTTCACTTTTTATGCAAGGCTATTATAAGACTGCTGGTTGTTCATTGCTATGGCAAAAGCAGCTAGAGAGTACTGGCGCTCTTGTGTCAGAACAAAACGAAATCACATAAAGCATAAATTAACAATACTGCAAAGTCAAGAAAATTAAGGTATGCCCTTAGTTATTTTGTTTTCTTATAAATAAATAAATCATATAGATCTGCGTTAAGTTCTAATTGGAAATCTAGCTTGGTCACTCACAGGTAGTTACCCTTGGACCAAAGGGGGCATTCGTGGCATCTATATAGCACCAAAAGCGAGTGCTGGTTTCAAGCTTTGTGGAGTTCTATATGCCAATCTACTTCACTGGCATTATGCAATCAGTTCTATCTCGAATCACTTCACAGTTAATGATACATGATTTTCATACGCATCATAAGCTTTATTAAAAGTCATTGGTCATCCATGGGACACTGCATAAGAATACTGTCTCACACGTGCTTGCATTTTATGTTCATGTAAAACTGCCTTGTAGGCCCTTTCACTAACATCTCTTCCCTTTGCTCCAGTGGCTATAACATTGTATTGCTGTGCCATTAAAGGGCCAAGACATAAAAAACAGCTCTCATACGATCCCCACTCTTTGAGCTTGTGACGACACAGAAACAGGAGACAAACATTGAGGTCCAAGGACTAAATGGCTACATCACAAAATGAGTACCCCAGCCAGACAAAATAAGCAACTGAATTGCAACGATATCAGCTCGGTGAATGCAGCTCGGTCTCGGTGAATGATACGGCCTCACGAGCTGCCTCTGTTTACGCAGCATTCATCGCACCCTCCAGATAAATATCAAGTCGCTGGAGACATTCGCAAAGCCTAGGACAGTCAATGACACAACCTCCGCATGTTATGCCGCCAAAGCAGTTCCAGAGGCTGCTGCAATCGATGCTGGATCAATGTGACACACAGGATATATCTACAGACAGAGTAGAAAAAAGACCTGAGGAAAAAGTAACACATCCCAATACGGTACAGTTTTGATAAATCAGTCGTCTTTTTAATCAAGGGCAAAAGTGATTGTCAACACTTTTTGATTGTCAAGCTGCTTTATTCACGAAGCAATGGGACAAATGTGAAATGTGTTTGCTAGTCGCAAGAACTGAAATGTAACACTGAACATATAGAGTGTATAACTACTAGTCGATTTTTTTCACCCATACTTACTGTTTGCTGTAAGGAGTAAGTCTGTATTTGACACATGTAGACTACGGACCTTTTCATTGCACACAATTACTTGCCACTTATAACATTTTCACACACACCTTGCAATTGTGATGTGGCTGATATGGGAATTACTCTCTGGGGGAATTACAAACTCATGTATTGGCTATCCTGGATTGATTGCAATTTGTTTCACTAAAACATAACAGAGAAGCACACGGTAGACATTATGGCAATAAAAAATTTCCCTTTCAAGTCTACTGATAGTTAGAGGAAATGGCAGGCCACTTTGACATAGCAGACAGTGCAGTTGTCGCAGGTGAGTTGATGATATATGGTGTTTTTTGGCGCAAGGGCCAATTGTTGGCCAAAGAGCGCCATTTCATCTTACTAAAAATATGGACAATGATTGTGATAAGTGGCTGTATAAGGGCCATAAAATTCCTCGCAATAAGGCGGGTAAGAACATACAAGTAATAAAATGATGACAATGCCGTGAAAGATGTGTGTGGTGTGAATGATGACAAAAGTTGGTGATAATAAGACGATGGTGGATATGTATGGCATTAGCACAAGTGCCTCACTCGTTCATACCCTTGCGTCCAAGGGCCGTGAGGCAAGTGCTTTCCTGTGTAGCCACCGCAGCAAAAACCTCTCAAGAGAGGTCGTGCTACGGTATGCCCGGGTATATGATATGAAAATTATGAATTTCCTTTAAAAACGCTAATAATGATTTGTGACTAAAAAGCGGTTCCCTACCGACGAACATTGCAGGGTGTAAAGGTATATGTTGTCGGTAGGATAGTGGGAAGTGGTGTCTTTTTAGAGTGTCTAAATGTTTACATTGAATTAAAACGTAAAGAACTGTTAATGTATCACCACATTTATCACACAATGGTGGATCACCACCGGATAAAAGATGTGTGTGTGTCGTGTATGTGTGTCCTATCCTGAGTCTTGTTAGTGTTACCTCTGTTAGACGTGATTTTGATACTGGTGGCCAATGACCAAGGTGTGGCTTGATAACGTGTAGTTTGTTTTGTGTGTGTGTATCCCACTTGCTCTGCCAGTAGTTCTTGAGGTTTCGTTTGAGAGAAGGCTTAAGATCAAGGGCCGGGATTGATATAGATGTAATGGCGGTGCTCTCATGGACGGATGCAGCGAGCTGATCCGCCCTCACGTTGCCTTGGATCTCACGGTGCCCTGGCACCCAGCACACTACAACATGTTTGTGTGTGTAGAGTGTGCACAAAATGGAGTAAGGTGAGACAAGGACTGGGTTTTTTTGTTTTTTAAGACTGTGCAGAGCCGTTACCACACTGAGGGAGTCTGTATAAATTACTGCTTTTTGTATTTGTAATTGTTTGATGTGTTTAGCTGCCACCAGTATCGCGTAAGCTTCCGCTGTGAAGATACTTGTGCGTGGATGTAGAGGGCCAGCATCCGAAAAGGATGGGCCGACAGCAGCGTAGGACACAGAGGAGTTAGTCAGGCATCTGTGAAGAACTCAGGACGTGTGTATTTGTGTTGAAGTTCCAGAAAGTATGTTCGGATATGGGCAATAGGTGCATGTTTTGTAACCTCTAGGAAAGACACATCGCAGTCTATAGTCTGCCAATGCCACGGTGGCGGGTATGCTACAGGAGTTATTAAACTGTGTTCGAGTGACACTCCAGTGTCCTCAGCTAGACCCTTCAGGCGAACTGAGAAGGGCTGCCTCATTGAAGGCCTGTTTTGAAAAAGAATGGAGCTCGCCAAGTCATTAATAGTAGAGTATGAGGGGTGCCTCTTGTCTGCTTTCACCTTAAGGAAATATACAAAGGACATGTAGGTTCTTTGCAGATGAAGCGACCACTCATTT